GATTGGGTATTGTTATGCATGGTGGACTCTGTGGCGTTCAATTTTGTTTTTTTAGTAGGTACGTACAGTTTATCTGTAGAATGCTAAAGAGAATTCTGTATAAAATTTATAGAATGTTTGATAGAATTTATTTTAGTTTCAATCAATAAAATATAAATAGTATTGTAGAAAGTTAGGTAATTCCCATTCATCGTTCTTTATGTAGACTTCTAGAGAATAAAACAAAAAAATGTCTAGGTAGGTAAATACTGTTTTGGACATAGTTATGTTATTTGATATCATTACGATTAGATATTTAAAAATAATTTAAACTTCAGTATTTACATTCTAGCTGCATAATAATAAATTCCAACAAGGAGGAGATATTGAAAAAAAAATTCATATTACATATATGTTACCTATAATATGAAGAAGTCTTTTTCTGTCTGTAAGAAATTTATTTCTCATAAACTTTTAAAAATTAGGCATACACGCATGATATACCTTAATTATTATTAATATGAATTTCAATTCCTTATATAGAATAGAATATATAATTGTATATAACATAGTATCAGATAAGATTACAACAATCGTGGCGGATGACGTGTGCGATTGAATATAATAAGTGTTACCATTTTCAGACAGAACCTAACACCGTCAGTTCATCGAACCACTGACGAATAGCTGACGTGGCCATGATATTTCATTTATCAGGATTAAGGTGTCATGTGATACAAAATAGATTTTGTTACGAGGAACATCTGGTTACAAACCACAAGAACTTTAGATTATAGATTGGAAAATAAGAATTGTTTATCTTTGAGGAACTTAAAAAAGGTTATATTCGGGGTCATGGACTATAGACAAATTCTAGTTAAATCTCTCATAGCATAATTGTTTTTGACACTAAAAATATAATCTTCTTTAAATGGTAGCACTATTAGCATGAGTAGTAGTAGACATCACTAACGAAAAATATATTCGAATATTGATATACTTTATTCAAATATAAAGAATATCTATTGTAATTAAATGTTGGGTATTGGCACCCTACTCAATACCCTAGTGGTAAATAATATTGAATGGCATTGCGTCAGTCACCATGTCTGGCAATCACCGAGTTTGGCTCGACTGTGTGCGAATCGATTCGTATATTTTTGATTGCAATTAAAACAAATTCTACCAATAGATAGGTGGACAATCTAAAATCTGTTATAAATATAAAATAAAAAATTGTTAGGAAGAACTTATTTCTTTAACGCATGAGTAGATTCTGGGACAATTAAAATCTAATATATAAAATCCTCTTGTCACATGTTCGTTCCCATACTCCTCCGAAACGGCTCCACCGATTCTTATAATATTTTTTCAGTAAGTCAGAATGTTCAGTAAGTCTGAGAATCAGCTACTATCTATATTTCAAACCCCTAAGTGATAAAAGGGGTGTCCACCCCAAAAATTTTTTTATTAAAATAAAATTTATTATTGTATAGTTATTTTTATTGAACTAAAAATATTACCTAGAAATTCAAATCTACCAATTTAAGCTAATCGCCTAGTTGTATTTAAAAGAAAATTATTAAAAACAGTTGCAATATGACACCCATGGGCTGTAGCGCCCCAGGATTATTGAGTAGTATTTTTATATTATCTTGAGTGGAAATTACATTCTTAGGCTTTTGGCTTCGGATACCGGAGCGAATTGGTGATACGGCTTATGGGCCTGCTGGGTAGGCTGTGCAGAAAAGTTTTTATTTAAATACATATATATTAAATAAAGTAGTTAAAAATATATAAATTAATTCTAATCTGACTGACTGCAGCATTGTTTCCCAAACTTTTTGTTGCATGCCTTCCACCCTCTCTAAGTAACTTGCATAATTTTTAATATTAAAATTAAATTGCTCACTTTAAGAAACTCAACAATGCAAAACAAAGGTTTGTCGGGTCACCTTATAAGCCATGTTTTTAAATATAATAAACGTAAGTTTTTAATGGTTATGTTTAACTTACCACCAGGTATAGTAACATATAACAGACAAAAATAGTAAATGATTACCAAAATTAAACCCGCATTTTAATGTAAAATTACAACCTAAGTTTTAACATCTGCTATCCTATTTAAGCAAAATGACTCCAAATAAATCATTGTTAACCCAAAAGTAGTAAATGATCGCCAAAATTAAAACAGCATTTTAATGTAAAATTATAACCAAAGTTTTTACATCTTGCTATCCTATTTAAGCAAACTGGCTCCAAAAAACTCATTGTTAGCCCAAAAATAGTTAATGAAAACCAAATTATTAACCATATTTTAATTTAAAATGAAATGCAAAAAAATAAAATCTCGTTATCCATTAAAGTAATTACCCTCGGCAAAAAAAATATTTTGTTATTTTTGCCGAATAATTATTCGTCTTCATCTGATTCCGATGAAGTACTAACAGGGAGAAGAACTGTCCCGTAAGTTACAACATTTTCGAATGCTTTAGAACAGCCGTAGTCAGCGGTCGAAACTTAATAAATGATAGAGCGTTTAAAAGCCTTTACAAAACAAACTTGCGCAGGAGTTCCATTAGTAGCTTTGGTTGCATTCAACTTATCTATCGTCTTATAATTTAAGTAGTATTTTTGAGTTTGTATGTTTGGTGGGCGAATGAGCCTACAGAACAGCCATAAAAAGCAGCTGCCGCAGGCAACATTTTTTGGGGTTTATTTGACATTTTAGTGGGTGCGTCGCCGGCCTTTAAAAGAGGAATATGCTTATTTTAAAAGTTCGGAGGTTGTATCTCCCAGGAAAGACTTCGTGACAAAGCGAAATGCCTAAAGAAGAGCACTGTAGAAGACTTCCAGCCATCAAGGTGGTGCGGATGAAACATGGAATTATTTCGGTTCTGAAAAGAGGCAGCAGGTATCAGACCAAACTTTACAACGTTCTTCAGAGCACTGATATCTTCATTTCACTTCCAATAGACACTACAGTTTTTTTATTTTTTCTACTTTTTAATTTTCATTGTAACCATGTCTATAACGTTGTGCCTAGAACTCAGGGCTGTAAACCGGCCCCTTATCCATTTGGTGCTGATGAGCTAAACGCATCCCCTGCTCCAAGGGACAGCTAAACTTTGTTTTTTATTTGCCTTTTCATACTTCTTTCCCTGTGGAATAAATGTTTTGTTTTGTTAAATAATTGCAATTTTATATTTACACTAGTGGACCCCACAGACGTTGTCCTGCATGATATTTAAAGCGATTAGGATATTAAGCAAATAAAATATGCTATTGCCGGGCTGATTTGTGATCTAAACCATCCCGATCCCCTTGAACACACACAAAAAATTTCATCAAAATCGGTCCAGTCGTTTGAGAGGAGTTCAGTCACATACACACGCACAGAAGAAATATATATATTTACATATATTTCTATATTTTTCATTTGATTTCAAAATGTGTTGTTAGTATGTTAATGGGTAGTAAGTAGATATATATTCATTGATCCAAATATAGGCCTCTCTTAAAGTAAAGACCTTCTCCAGTTCCAAAGCTCTCCGTCAGTTCCTGAGATCATCCACTTATTATCACCCCATCGTCTTGTTGGTCTTACCACATCCCTTCTACTGACCCGTAACTCTCTCGTCCTGAATAGTTCATATTGTCTCGCTAAGCGTGATGCTCTTCTACAAGTTCCGATTTAGATTTAAAACAAAAACATAAATGGTTTATGTGATTTATTTTAACAAAAAGGTAACTACTGACAACAGGAAGGTCGCTGAACTGGTGCTAAGTTGTGACTTAAATATAAAATAATAAAGACTAAAAAAGGAAAATTGCGAATCGAGCACAATTGTGGGCGGCCACCGTTCAAAATTAGCAAATTTTACTAATACCACCATAAAAATTCATTAATTTCAATTTTATCATCTTTATAGCATTCGCCTACGTTTATTATAGGAGACATGAGTTTGAAATTAATAATGTTTTCCTACAGTTAACGTTAAGAGGATTGGAGACTAAAATTTTCCTTCTTTAATTGTGTGGTACTTTTTTAGATTTAATAATAAATTATTTTATGATTAAATATCTTATTAAATTTAATGATTTAAGTGTACAAAAATCTTAAAATTGTCCTATCTATATTTACTTTTCAATCTTTCTATAATTTTAGAACTCCCGTAATTCCCAATGTGGCATGGATCATGGATGTCACATCTCTGCGTCTGTTTCATTCATAATTTTTAAACAAGATAAGACAAGTAGTTAGCAGCAAGCAAAACAGGATAATCTCTATAGGCCTACACTTCTTTTACATACATAGTTAAAAAATATCCGATTACAATAACATTAGTTCATAGCTACTTTATTTTTTAAGATGTTGTGTTGATGTGTTGTTTATGGAAGTGAAAATCCAATTATGAATAAAAATTATTCTTTTTTTCGATGTAAAATATAATCTAGGTATAATATTGTACCACATAGGTATTTAAAGTGCAAAACGTGACAAAGTTTTTAATTATTAGACGTGAAAATCACCAACAAGGAGGAGGGATTTCAGTGGCCCCCATTTGACCGCCATTACCTTATTTGGCACGTCTCGATTCTAAATATGGCTCGCGGCCAGCCCACTACTTCGCAGAGAGCTGCGTTCGGGCTGCAAGCTTTCTAGTCTATTATTTCTATTTATGAAATAAACTCAAAATAAAAGCTCTATTTTCATACATATTTTGGGTACCATTACGTTCGCGGGTTCCCGGTTTCCTACGGATGTGTCAGATTACGGGCATGTAGATATTTTTCATCTCTATCGTTCGGCTTTTGATAATCTGTGTGTAAGGGAGACGGCTAGATATCAAGGTGCACGGCACAGAACTGTGCGAAGTCAGTTGCGGTCCGAGCGGCCAAGTCGTCAGTCCCGCCCTCGGTTCTTTCGCGTTTTCGGTCAGTCTCCGTTCGACGTTCGAACGGTGAAGTGTGTATTGCGCGTGCGCGCACCGGTTACTGTGGCGTACTGCGAGGTTATTATGGACGCGCCCGGCGGAGCGCGGGAGTCCCGCTTCGGGCTTTACGGTAACGGTATGGGAATCCTAGGGGAAGTGCCTGATATGTATGGTGCTGGCCGCCCTCCGAGTTCCCTTGGCGGTCTGAGGCCTGGCATGCAACCCTGTCCAGTGCCAAGAACCGGCGTGAAGCGGCCATCTGACCAGTGTTATGATGAGAGGCCTTCTCAAAGTCTTAGTTTGGAGCACTGTGGGATGCCAGATATAGCAGATGACGGCTATGCATCTCTCCAACCAAAAAAATCTCCTCCTTCTAATGGGAAGAAAACCAAGGGGCGCGTTAAGATTAAAATGGAATACATAGACAACAAATTACGGCGGTACACAACTTTCTCTAAGCGGAAGACTGGCATCATGAAGAAGGTGGGTCGCCTGTGCTTTTGGCAACATTCCATATTAATATCTATGCAGTTCAAGAGTGTTTACTACCAAAAAAGTTTTGTGAAAGTGTATTTAAAATATCTTATAAGTTATAGTGAAATTTAAAAATTAATAGCCTACATTCACTTTTATATTAATACAATGATAAAGAAATTGTAGCGCTGAAGATAGAATGCCCTTCTGCGGTTTATCATGTCAAAATGGCATCTAGCCTGAGTTTAGATTATCTCAATCATAATGGTTAGTTGCTTAATAATAAATCTAATAGGAAAAATAAAAATCTACATAGATCCAGGTAAAGTAATATAATAAAATAAAATCATTTGAAGTATGTAGTCAAACCTCTTAACTTTTAACCAACTTCTGAACAGAAAGTCTAAAGTTGTCAATAACAAACCAAATTAAATAGAATTTCAACTGTATCTAAATTGCAATTCTGCACATTTTAGTCTATAACTATAGGTGATTGCATTGAAGTAAAAGTTATTAGTTCCATATTTATAGGTTATGTTTGTAATCTCTTGAAAATCATAATATTATGGGATATTGCCTTAAAACTTTTTTAGCAATATAAATATATAAATTTATCAAAATCATCTTTGTAAAGAAAAACCCACAAATACAATAGGTAAATGACTTTTGACAGTTATGAGGGAGCTGTTTTGTGTTAGCAGCAAATTCATTTAATTAATGCTCATATTAAGTGTATGTATGTGTTGAAATTTCAACATTTCAATAAGCTTAACAGGTATGGCTCTCTATAAATAATTAAATTTCATTGTGTGCAACTTGAAATAATTGCTGTTTAAATTTTTATTAACCAGCTGTTATTATTAGTTTTGCACCTGACTGCTAGATGGCACTGACAGTTTTATTTGTAAAATGCTCTGTACTTTTTCTATTAATTTACTTGTAGGAACAAAGTTTTTTATGAAAATTTTAGATTTTCATATTAAATTAGACTTTGGCTTAAAATATATTAAAAGAAATAATGAAAATTTTGGCATTCATTATTACAGTACTTATTGAACTTTTATATACTGTAGTAATTATTGTAAATTATGTAATGAAAATCTTCAAAATTATTTTTCACACTACTAAACTAAATAAACTAAATGTAATTCAAAACATTGTTCAAAAAAAATATTGTTATTGACAAATTTCAGTAATAATACTCTTCCTTATTTCTCATTTGGAGTAATAAGATGATTAACAGCTACTAACTAGAAAAAGGATATAACAAGATAAATAACTGATATGTATTTATAGTGAGGATAAAACTAACTTATACCTAAAATGAGTAATAAAAATATAAATCTAATAATCTCAAAATTATATAAAATATCTCATCATTATAACATTTGTAGCAAGCGTCATTACTTTGCCAGGATAATCCAATCTTAAAATGACTGAGAACAATATGTGCAAACCGCACATGTCAAGAGCATATTTTAATTCTTACAACACAAATGTCATTCTCCAAAACATCAATATTACAATTGGCTAAATTAAGACTAATGACTAAGACAACATACACACAGGCAACATCTTAATAAATTTGCTAAAAAATATAACATATACAAATAAAGTCCAATGCAATCATTTCTTACAAACTATTATGAAAATGTCTCTATGTATGTGTTCTTTATTAGCACTTACTACTCACATCATCCTACATACATAAATTATGAAAAAAAAAGTATTTAAAAGAATTCAAAAATTATTATTAAGGATAAAATACAAGCTGCATATTATGTGCAATGTTATATGCAGTGGTATTGGTGAAATATTAGTTAGTTAGATAGGTACAAAGTAACAAGAACCTGTTATGTATAATTTCAGTTATCATAGCAGCCTTTGAATAGTAGAGGTTCGCCAATTCCCTGATTCATTATGTAGACATTGTCAATCTGCGTAGAGATGTGACTTTGCTATGTGGACATACCATTAATCCTAGAACATCCAGTTTATTGTACCCTCAGATGATATACAGATAATGGCAATTAGTATCTTATAAAGAATTGCGATTGAAGTAGCGATCAATTAAAAAAATTTACGCTAAGTAGATGACAAATGTTAACTCTTTTATTTGCGGGACAGTTTAACGTGAATTATTTATTGTACAGCGATTGTATGAAACCTGGTAATTAAAATAAAGCAGTTTTTTTTGTAAATCGAAGAATAGAAGTCATGTATAAAATAATCAATACAAAGTTATTAATTATGGATGTATGCCTATAGTTATTTTTGTTCGTTTACACAATGAGTTTTTGCGTGGCCATTGCACGCGAGCGCTGTCTCTCAGCGGGTTAGCAGCGTGCTCAACTCGGACACGAAACGTATCCGTTCTCGTTAAGCCTTTTTTACTTTATCTATACATTTATCTATTCTCTCTGGTACTATCTAATCGTATTGGAAATCTTGTTTTGATTCTGTTAAAGGTTAATTAACTTTTGTTTATGCGTTAGGTTAATTTAATTGTTAGTAAACTTTTGATCCATCATTTGATACATATATATATATTTGTATTCTGCCCTACGAACATTTTGACTGATATTTCTTCTTGAAGAACTATCACGAGCAGACAGAGACATCTCTCTAAAAATATCTTAACGATTTCTTGATTTTAAAACATATTATATATGTACTCTTATGCGTAATTTCATAATTGATTTAATGATTCATAGGACAAACATTTTTCTTCCCCAAGCCTGCCCATCTCTTATAACATAAATGTTTTTATAAACTTTGGTCGTGTGTACTGAATACCAATGTCGTCTGTTGGTTTATCTTGACAATCTTTCAGTTGGTCCATCTTCCGTCAAGCGCCTCGAATACAAGAGTAATTACAACGCCGCGGGGGCTTCGAGGGACACGATTTGTCGGCAAATGTTAGTTTCTCGTCGGCAAGCATTGTGGCTGGGCCGACTTTGTCATGTTTAGCCGACAGAATCTAGCTTCGGGCATTGGTAGCTAAGGGATTTACTGTATACTTAAGAATTTAACGTGACTTTTAATTGCATTGTGGTGAATAAACGAATATTGAAGTAACAAATCAGATAATGATTGGGTTAAATTAAATGTCTAATGTTGGAAAGATCACGATCTTAAGACATAACCGGTCAGTTTAAATGAATGGACATTGCTCTTAAATAAAACCCCTTACCCTATGATGGCTTTCATTTTAAACTGCTTTTGTCCGAAGCGGGAATAAATTATACAGTCCGATATAGGTCCGATATAGTCCTTAAAGAGGACATTTTAATAAATTTAAAATAACGATTATCGTTGGGTCGCTGAGTCGTGATTTCGTTAGCTTCGTGGTTGGGTCTTTGGCTGGAGTAAGTCGTCACGAGCGATTACTAAATTAATTAGGGACTAGCCTGGATGTAGATTGCGAGTTAGATTATTTTCCCACACGACTAGTTGATATTATGTTCTAAACTGATATCATAAAAGTTTGCCATTTTATTCTTTAACTTTGTTTATGTCTTGACCGAATATATATGGTTATGTACCTATGAGTGATGGTCCTTTCACAAATCTATTGTTATAGATTTTGATAGTAGAGTTTGTGTACAACGAAACAGTTCATGTTCGAGCTCGTAGTTCGTTACAATACCGCTAGATGTCTTTGATGGCGGGTATATTCGGGAACTTCTGATATTCTCTGCTCGCCTAGTACTTTTTAAGACATATTTGGTTCCTCGTTCGTCATGTTCACTTACTTAATTTAATAATAATAATTAATATAACTAAAAAATGATTTCTTAATTTACTTTTTATTGAACACCTACATAATTTCAAAAAGCTACCGAATGTTTTGGGTATTAATCGCACTCGCGTTACTTTGTAGTAGCTAAATCACCGTGAATAAATTTTATTGACTTAAGTCATAATTTTTTTTAAATACTTTTATACATTTATGAATAAGACCGTTATGTTTATATTTTTAACCGGAGATTTTGCTGTCTATAATTACGAAATACGGGTCGTGAGATATAGGTCGGCGACGCGATCGCGACGCCCTGCAATTAGGTAGTGTTGTACGCAATGGGTAATTGTTTAATTTGATCTTCTCTCCGCTCTCAACTTCAAAGTGTTTAGGCTCGATGGAATGTAGCTATTATGAGTGTTGCTGTAATAGATTTAATCTTTTCGCAGTATTACAAACATTTATTAAGATCTTTAGGCATGACTTTACGCTTGATATATTTCATCAAAACAATATCGACAAAAAATATAGTGGTATTAAAGGATATTTCCACCAAAGATTTAATTAACTTACATACATACACTTTTAAGTGAATTATGCATGCCCGCCTTAAATAGTTGTTTTACTAGGCAAGCATAAACTTAAGATAGTACTTAACCACTGGCCAGCTTAATTAGAACTTTACCTGCGTTACCGCTTATTTGAAATCCACCATAATAGCATTGAATATCGAGTGGCATGGGGACTTAGATTGATTGGTCGGTCGGCAGGGATGTCTAGCTTCTGGGCCCGCCTCCGAACGACACCTAGAGTGAACGCCTTGTTGTTATGCACGCCTAGTACGCAAGTGCCATTGAGAGCCAACAGCGCCTTTCACTACGACATTCATTGAAATCAATCAATCGTCAAACCTGTAAGGTACACACACATTAAGCACTCAACGCACTGCATGGTTTCACTTGACAGTATTATAAAAAGTTTAATCAATAACTTCGCTTATTCTATTTGTTATACTAAAATTAATTCAGTAATTCTAAATTGTTCCCAACATCAATCTCAATGCACAGCTTTGATTCGAGTTAGACAGATGACAGTCAGTCCCCTGATTAGTTGAAAGGAACGACAGTTTGTCGTCCAATCGACTAATCGGCAAATTTATCGGTTGATAAACTTAGTTAACGGTCAGTGGTGTATTCGCAGAACTATTAAAAATATTCTCTACATGATCTGAGTCTAGAATAAATCAAAACAAAAATTCAACAAATACGGTTTAGCATAATCTTTCGATAAACTTTCGCTTTGAAAATTTTAGAATTATGTTATTTTTATCGGTTAAGCTTTGAAAAAACTAAAAAAGAAATCGCGTAATTTCAAAGACTCGCCGTCGTAA